TCTTCACCCGCCAGGAAGAAGAAGATCGCCACTTTTTTGCGGCCAGAAAAGGAGCCAGAATAACTGCACCAAAAAGAAAAATTTGGCAACCTCCCCGGCGGAACTGCGAAATTTCACCAAAGGGAGTTGAATATAGGGTCTAACAACACTGTAATTCGAATGCGGTTCGAGCGAGGAAATGAAACGCCTCCCAGAGGCGAGATGGGATTCCGACTTTATCGATCGGTCAGAACCGGGTTTTTTGCAGCCTGGCTACTCTGACTGTTCCGAAATCTCCCTGGCGGTTGCTGCGACGGGGAAGGCCGAGAATCTCTCCGACGCGCTCCCACCTGGCCGCGCACTGCAGGCGGTAACCAATCCGACGACGCTGAACATTCCGTCACCTGCCCTGGACACGCGATCAAAATTTCGACGTCAACGCACCTCGAGCCAAATCCCAGTCATCGCTCCTCAGCAAAGAGCTCGTGACCTAGCGCCCTGTCTCGAGACCATGCAGAGCCAGCATCAAAGCGGCGCAGTTGGTCACGATGGCAACGGACTACGCTACAGCTGACTGCGTAGACTTGCGCCTACACGATTTGCGTCAGCGTTGGGCGAACCTGATGGTGTCGACGAGGATGCGCCGGGGCAAGTGGCAAGCATGTGGGTGACTCGATGATGCCGGACCGGTCTACGGCAGACGCGTTTTGCATTGTTGTCCGTGTGGGGAGGCAGAGAGGCTTTCATACCGGTGAAGTCCGCTTGGCGCGGCGGCCTAGAATGCCGAGAATGACGCCGCCCCGAGGCCTCGGCCGAGATCTGTCCAACTCTGCGAGTGCAGAAGATGCGAGGACCCTGGAAGCGATGGCGCGCTGTGATTGGTGCGATTAGAGTTGGCGCATGATCAAGACGAGCGGAGCGTCGCGTCGACTTTAGCCTTTTCTCGCCTTTCTTCTCGCCGGAAAATAGGCAGTTAGCAGGCGGGCGTCTTGAACGGCAGAATTGGACTCTCTGCTCTGGCGCCTGTCGAGCATCTGAAATATCGTCAATATAAAACTTTGCCTCGCCACTGCACAGCGCAGTGTAGCGGTATACTCGAAAAAGAACAGAGGCTCGCATTTCTGTAGAGGTGCATCTGCGGCGGTACCTTGCACGTTGTTGAAAGCGACGTGATTGAGCGGCCCCACTTTTCGTTTTTCGCTCGGATGCAAATGGGTCTAATCTGATTGGAGGAGGAGCAGCAGCTTTGGCCCGCCCGCCCCTCTAGCTTTCGTGAAGATGATGTGCGCAGGCAGCGGTGGGGGCCCGCCGCTGTTGTGTGAATCCATCCAGATGGCACCCGAGGTCCTGCGCCGCTCCGCGAGCTCCGCTGGCCAATGGAATCGTGCGCCTTGCCAAGCCATGCCGCCGCTCCGTTGGCCCCTCGCTCGCCAGCCGCAACTAGATGGCCGCGAGGCAAAAAAAAGTGTCTGATCCGATGAGCAGTGCAGTGAGTTGTGTGAGCTTCCGGCTTGAAATGCGCAAAGTGGCCTCCTCCCCCGCGCCAGGAAGAAATTGGCATCGCTAGTCTGTCGTCCACTCGTCGTTTCCATCTCTACCACAACACCATCTCGCACTTCTCACTGGTCGTTATCGCATCCAACGACGAGCAAGCCTTCTTCTACTTTCACCAAGCCATTCGAGTCAGGACTTAAGCCACCCTGCCTTTGATAGCTTCCCCAACCCAAGCCAAAAATCGCCTCGGTCGCAGGCATCTCTCTCACCACCTCCAACCGCAAACGTTGATCTGCACGACTCTGAAGCCGATTCTCATCAGGTAAGTTCGGACTCGTGGCGACTCTATATCACCGCTCGAGACAGAGTGGCATGGCATCGTACCGCATCGACATGGCAGCAGCACCAACTCGACTCGACTCGACCGGCATCGCAGCCTCGCAGCCCCTCGACCCGCCGTTCTTGGACCTAGCGCTCGCGAGCCCAGCAGCGTCTTCTCCGAGCCTCGCACTGCCTTGCAAAGCATCGATCCACCCATCAAGCTGCTCAGGAGGATCATTGCGATCTTCACCGGGGCTGGCTGGCTGAGGGGTCATGGCTTTGCGGCGCGGACGCGGGTGCGGGTGGGGAGGCGCTCGGCTGCGCATTGCTCCGCATTGCCTGCGTTTGCGTCGACTTTAGATCCGAGACGGACCCGCGCCGCTGGTCCGCGTCGATTTCGACTTTTCTTTTTTCTCCAATTTTTGGAAGAGAGGCGGATTCTTCGCAGCGCTGTGAAAGCTCGCTTGCGCCAAACTCGGGCTCTCAGACGGCGAAGACTGCCATGCTTTGATAATAATCAGAGCGGTCAATCTTTGCACGGGCTGCTGCCTCGCGTCGGGAAATTCTTTTCCCACTCGGCGCCGCGCAATGGCAATCGCTCCCGGCTGCCCACCGCTGTTGGATGGAATCGTTTGCTCAGACGGCAGTGAGCTGCGTGGTGGCAAAGGGCCTGCTTACCGTCAGAGCGGGCATTGCCCCACCTGCTTAGCCTCAGCAGCCGCTTCCCCTCAGCTCGGCAAAACAAGCTGGCACGTAGGTCAGCCTCTCTCAGCCTCGTGCTCGCCCGAATGCCGGCTGCAGTGGTTATTGCCACCGGGGTTCACACTCATGCTCATGCGCGCCCGCTTGTGCGCTGTTGGCGAGCTGGTGACGGGACGTTGGGTGCGCCTTCGTCTCCGGCTCGGCTGAGTGCAAGTCGGGTGGCAGCTGCACCAAAATGCGAGGCTCCGGATTGGTCGGTGGGCTGCCGCGTGAAATTGCCCGAGTCAGATCAGCGATTTCGCTTCGCCCGCCCTCTCATTGGCTGCTCGCCACTCTCTGTCTCGAAATTGGCAGCCGGCATGCCGCGGTGCCCACTCTGTCTCTCCCTCCCGGCTCTTGGCCGGCGTCGCCGCTCGCTCGCCACTGAGCTCAATCAACTGACCCCCACCTCATATCTATCTGTTGCCTTTCTGTTTGTCCTTTCCACCTCAACCATTTCCCATCGTCGACCACCACTATTTCCACGCATCTCTTCAACGGATCTACAGGTCGACCTCCGTTCGTATTCAAGCCTAATCCAACGTTTCTTCGTGTCAATTTCAGGATTCTGTAGCAAGAGTCAGCCATCAATACCCACCAAAGCACATTCTCTCAACCAGCATCATCTCTTCTGCCTCTGCCAGCAAAGCATCAGCAACGGAATCTCGTACTCATAGAAAGCTTCGTCACCGTCGAAGCTCGCCAATCCGTTTCCATCCAACCTTTTCAACCACCACCAAAAGCTCGAGTGCCTGTTATGGCTCCTGTCGCCGACGTCAAGTCCAACGCCAAACAGACTCGCTTCGTTGATCAACTCAACGCCGAGCTCGCTCCCGTCCACGAGGAGGCCATCTCCTCCGACAACCTCGAGGCCAGCGGCTACGATGAGGTAGAGCGCTCCACCTCGCTCTGGGCCGGCTCCATGCCCGCTGCCCAGGGCCTTTACGACCCGGACAACGAGAAGGACGCCTGCGGTGTCGGCTTCATGTGCCAGATCAAGGGAAAGCCCGCCCACAAGATCGTCTCCGACGCACGCTTCCTCCTCTGCAACATGACCCACCGTGGTGCCGTCGGTGCCGACGCTCGCGACGGTGACGGCGCCGGTGTCATGACCGGCATCCCCGACACCTTCTTCCGCCGCGAGTCCGAGCGCGACCTCGGCGTCAAGCTCCCCCCTCAGGGACAGTATGCCGTCGGCAACCTCTTCTTCAACCCCAAGGACGACAAGGCGCGCGCAGAGCACGTCCAGACCTTCACCGACATCGCCGACAAGCTCGGCTTGCGCGTCCTCGGCTGGCGTGACGTCCCCGTCGACAACTCCATCCTCGGCCCTGCCTCCAAGTCCAAGGAGCCCAAGATCATGCAGCCCTTCGTCGTCCTCAAGGACCACTACGGCTCCGGCTCCGCCCCCGCCGACGCCGCCAAGACCTTCGACGAGCAGTACTTTGGCCGTCAGCTCTACGTCCTCCGCAAGCACGCCACCCACACCATCGGTCTCCAGAACTGGTTCTACATCTGCTCGCTCAGCCCTACCAACATCATCTACAAGGGTCAGCTCAGCCCCGTCCAGGTGTACAACTACTACTACGACCTCAACAACGTCCACTACGCCTCCCACTTTGCCCTCGTCCACTCGCGATTCTCCACCAACACCTTCCCCTCCTGGGACCGTGCCCAGCCCATGCGATGGGCCGCCCACAACGGTGAGATCAACACCATCCGCGGCAACAAGAACTGGATGCGTGCTCGCGAGGGCCTCCTCAAGTCCGAGACCTTTGGCGACGAGCTCGACCTCCTCTACCCCATCATCGAGGGCGGCGGATCCGACTCGGCTGCCTTCGACAACGTGCTCGAGCTCCTCGTCATCAACAAGGTCCTCACCTTGCCCCAGGCCGTCATGATGATGATCCCCGAGGCTTGGCAGGGCGCCAGCAGCCACATGGAGCCCGAGAAGGTCGCCTTCTACCGATGGGCCGCCTGTCTCATGGAGCCTTGGGACGGTCCCGCGCTCTTCACCTTCGCCGACGGTCGCTACTGCGGTGCCAACCTCGACCGCAACGGTCTCCGTCCTTGCCGTTACTACATCACCGACGACGACATCATGATCTGCGCCTCCGAGGTCGGCACCGTCACCATCGACCCCAAGACCGTCATCGCCAAGGGCCGTCTCCAGCCCGGTAAGATGCTCCTTGTCGACACTGTCGAGGGTCGCGTGGTCGAGGACCGCGAGCTCAAGATGAGCACTGCTCAGCGTGCCGACTTCGCCGCCTGGCTCGAGAACCAGATGCTCCGCCTGCCCGAGATCGTCGACACCGTTCGTCGCAACACCGGCAACGCCATCGCTCCCGTTCTCGACCAGGAGCGTCTCAGCACCGACCCCAAGCTCCTCGCCTTCGGTTACACCGCCGAGCAGATCAACCTGCTCATGCTTCCCATGGTTGCCGACGGTAAGGAGGCGCTCGGTTCGATGGGTAACGATGCTCCGCTCGCCTGCATCTCCACCGCTCCCCGTGTCATCTACGACTACTTCCGTCAGCTCTTCGCCCAGGTCACCAACCCTCCCATCGACCCCATCCGCGAGTCGGTCGTCATGTCGCTCGAGCAGTACGTCGGTCCCGAGGGCAACCTGCTCGAGATGAAGCCCGAGCAGTGCCACCGTCTGCTCCTCCCTTCGCCCATCCTCAGCGTCGACGAGCTCAACGCCATCAAGCAGATCGACTCGGTCCACTCCGACTGGACTGCCAAGACCATCGACATCACCTACGACAAGGGTGAGGGCATCATCGGCTACGAGGCCACCCTCGACCGCATCTGCTCCGAGACCTCGCAGGCCATCCGCGACGGCTACCGCGTCGTCATCCTCTCCGACCGCGCCGTCGGCACCGACCGCGTCGCCATCTCCTCGCTCGTCGCCTGCGGTGGTGTTCACCACCACCTCATCCGCAACAAGGAGCGTAGCCGCATCGCCCTCATGATCGAGTCCGCCGAGGCTCGCGAGGTGCACCACATGTGCGTGCTGCTCGGCTACGGTGCTGACGCCATCTGCCCCTGGCTCGCCATGGAGGCCATCCTCAAGGTCTCCCGCGAGGGTCTCGTCAAGGCCGACCTCTCGGCCTCGCAGCTCATCGACAACTGGAAGCACGCCGTCGACAACGGTATCCTCAAGGTCATGTCCAAGATGGGTATCTCCACCCTCGCCTCGTACAAGGGCGCCCAGATCTTCGAGGCTCTCGGTCTCGCCAACAGCGTCGTCGACCGCTGCTTCGCCGGTACCGCCTCGCGTGTCTCGGGNCTCGTACAAGGGCGCCCAGATCTTCGAGGCTCTCGGTCTCGCCAACAGCGTCGTCGACCGCTGCTTCGCCGGTACCGCCTCGCGTGTCTCGGGTTCCGACTTCACCCTGCTCGCCATGGATGCGCTCGAGTTCCACGACCGCGGCTACCCGTCGCGTGACACCGTCTCCATCCCTGGTCTGCCCGAGTCGGGTGAGTACCACTACCGTGACGGTGGTGAGGCCCACATCAACGACCCCATGGCCATCGCCCACCTCCAGGATGCCGCGCGCGAGAGAAACCAGTCGGCCTACGACTCCTACTCCAAGGCCTCGCACAACGCCGTCAAGGCCACCTCGCTCCGCGGTATGCTCGAGTTCGACTACACCAAGTCGCGCGCCATCCCCATCGACCAGGTCGAGCCCTGGACCGAGATCGTCCAGCGCTTCTGCACCGGTGCCATGTCGTACGGCTCCATCTCCATGGAGGCTCACTCGGCTCTTGCCATCGCCATGAACCGTCTCGGCGGCAAGTCGAACACCGGTGAGGGTGGTGAGGACGCCGAGCGTTCCATCCCTCTCCCCAACGGCGACTCGCTCCGCTCCAAGATCAAGCAGATCGCCTCGGGCCGTTTCGGTGTCACGAGCAACTACCTCGCCGACTCGGACGAGCTGCAGATCAAGATGGCTCAGGGTGCCAAGCCCGGTGAGGGTGGTGAGCTGCCCGGCCACAAGGTCTCGCCCTCGATCGCCCGCACCCGTCACTCGACTGCCGGTGTCGGTCTGATCTCGCCCCCTCCCCACCACGACATTTACTCGATCGAGGACCTCAAGCAGCTCATCTACGATCTCAAGTGTGCCAACCCGCGCGCCCGCGTCAGCGTCAAGCTCGTCTCCGAGGTTGGCGTCGGCATCGTCGCCTCCGGTGTCGCCAAGGCCAAGGCCGACCACATCCTCATCTCCGGTCACGACGGTGGTACCGGTGCCTCGCGATGGACCGGCATCAAGTACGCCGGTCTGCCTTGGGAGCTCGGTCTCGCAGAGACCCATCAGACGCTCGTCCTCAACGACCTCCGTGGCCGCGTCACCGTCCAGACCGACGGCCAGATCCGCACCGGTCGCGACGTCGCCATCGCCTGCCTCCTCGGCGCCGAAGAATGGGGCTTCGCCACGACTCCTTTGATCGCTCTCGGGTGCATCATGATGAGAAAGTGCCATTTGAACACCTGTCCTGTGGGCATTGCTACGCAGGATCCCGAGCTCCGCGAGAAGTTCGCCGGACAGCCCGAGGCTGTTATCAACTTCTTCTACTATCTCGCCGAGGAGCTTCGATCGATCATGGCGAAGCTCGGACTCCGTACCATCAACGAGATGGTTGGTCGATCCGACCTGCTCCGCGTCGACGACACCCTCCGTACCCCCAAGACCGCGAACCTCGACCTCTCGGCGCTCCTGAAGCCCGCTCACGAGATGCGTCCTGGTGCGGCTACTTACAAGGTTCGTCAACAGGACCACAAGTTGTACGTCCGACTCGACAACAAGTTCATCGATGAGGCCGAGCCTGCCCTCACGCAAGGTCTTCCGGTGCAGATTGACTGTGAGGTCGTCAACACCGACCGAGCCCTCGGTGCGACACTGTCGTACCGGGTGTCCAAGCTGTACGGCGAGGAGGGCCTTCCGCGTGACACCATCCACATCAACGCGAAGGGCTCCGCTGGTCAGTCGTTCGGTGCCTTCTTGGCTCCCGGTATTACTCTCGAACTCGAGGGAGACAGCAACGACTACGTGGGCAAAGGCTTGTCTGGAGGCCGTTTGATCGTGTATCCGCCCAAGGTATCGTCGTTTAAGGCCGAGGAGAACATCATCGTCGGCAACACGTGCCTTTACGGTGCGACCACCGGCCACGCTTACTTCCGCGGAATTGCCGCGGAGCGCTTCGCCGTGCGTAACTCGGGAGCGCACGCCGTCGTCGAGGGTGTCGGCGACCACGGTGCCGAGTACATGACTGGCGGCCGAGTTGTTATCCTCGGACCGACTGGCCGCAACTTCGCCGCCGGTATGTCGGGCGGAATTGCGTACGTTCTCGACATGAACCGCGATTTCTCGAGCAAGTGCAATACCGAGATGGTCGAGCTGGGCCCTGTCAAGGACCCTCAGGAGATTGCGGAGCTGCGCAACCTTATCGAGAACCACCGCCACTACACCGGCTCTACGGTTGCCGACCACGTGCTGCACGACTTCCACCACCTCCTTCCTCGCTTCGTGCGCGTTATGCCCTACGACTACAAGCGCGTTCTCGAGGAGGAGGCTGCCAAGGCCGCTGTCGAGAAGAAGCGTTCGAGCCACGTTGACCTGCTCGGCACCCTCTCGCGCCACGGCAGCCAGGTCGATGTCTCGGTGTCCGAGGACCAGCCCAAGGACAACGCCGCCGACAACGTCCGCGAGGTGCCCGCTGCCAAGCCTGCTGAGCCTGCCGTTGTCGATGTCGAGGACTCCATGGTCGACGACGAGACTGCCAAGGCTAGGCTCAACAAGCTCGACAAGACGCGCGGCTTCATGAAGTACAAGCGTCTGGGCGAGCACTACCGCACGCCTGCCAAGCGTGTCAAGGACTACAAGGAGCTCTCGACTCGTCTCAGCGAGGCCGAGCTCAAGTACCAGACGGCGCGATGCATGGACTGCGGTGTGCCCTTCTGCCAGGGTGACACTGGTTGTCCGATCTCCAACATCATTCCCAAGTGGAACGACCTCGTCTTCAAGGGCCAGTGGGAGGATGCGCTCAACCGTCTCCTCATGACCAACAACTTCCCCGAGTTCACCGGTCGTGTCTGCCCGGCTCCTTGCGAGGGTGCTTGTGTGCTCGGCATCACCGAGCAGCCCGTCGGCATCAAGTCGGTCGAGTGCGCCATCATCGACAAGGGCTTCGAGGAGGGCTGGATGGTGCCTCGCCCGCCCAAGATCCGCACCGGCAAGACCGTCGCTGTCATCGGCTCCGGTCCCGCTGGTATGGCCTGTGCGGACCAGCTCAACAAGGCTGGCCACTCGGTCACCGTGTACGAGCGCGCCGACCGCATCGGTGGTCTGCTCATGTACGGTATCCCCAACATGAAGCTCGACAAGGGCATCGTGCAGCGTCGTGTCGACCTCATGGCCGCAGAGGGCATCAACTTCGTCACCAGCACCTACGTTGGTCGCGACGTTGACCCCAAGCAGGTGCACGCGCAGAACGACGCCGTCGTCTACGCTGTCGGCGCCACCTGGCCGCGTGACCTCAAGGTGCCTGGCCGCGAGGCTGACGGCGTTCACTTCGCCATGGACTTCCTCGCCCCCAACACCAAGTCGCTCCTCGACTCTGGTCTGCAGGACGGCCACTACCTCAGCGCCAAGGGCAAGGACGTCATCGTCATTGGTGGTGGTGACACTGGTTGCGACGCTCAGGCTACCGCGCTTCGTCACGGTGCCAAGAGCATCGTCAACTTTGAGCTGCTGCCGCAGCCGCCCAACGAGCGTGCCAAGGGCAACCCCTGGCCGCAGTTCCCTCGTGTGTTCAAGGTGGACTACGGTCACGCCGAGGTGGCCGCCCAGTGGGGCAGCGACCCGCGCGAGTACTGCATCTCGACCACCTCGTTCGAGAAGGACGCCGAGGGCAAGCTCGTGGCGCTCAACACGATCAAGGTCAACTGGGAGCTTGACGCGTCCGGCAAGTGGCAGATGAACAAGATCCCTGGCTCCGAGAAGCGCTGGCCATGCGATCTCTGCCTGCTCTCGCTCGGATTCCTGGGTCCCGAGAACGACGCCATCTCGGCGCTCGGTCTCGAGCAGGACGGCCGATCGAACATCAAGGCCGACGACCAGAAGGGCAAGTCGCCCTACAAGACCAACGTCGAGCGTGTCTACACCGCCGGTGACTGCCGACGTGGTCAGTCGCTGATTGTGTGGGGAATCCAGGAGGGTCGTGCTTGTGCGGCTCAGGTCGACAGCGACCTCATGGGCAACACCCGTCTCCCGTGGGCCGGCTCCATCAAGAAGCGCGAGTTCCTCCCCATCGCCGACAAGGCAAAGGCCAAGGTCGCCGCCACTGCCTAAGCGCAGAAGCAGCTTCCTCCTTCATTCCCCCTCTCCCTCCCCCTCCCCTGTGTACATAGGATGTGTCGTGGGCGCGAGGCAAGTGGTGACGATGGCTCTATGGCTTTACGAGCCACCGTCGTTCGCTACTTCGCGCTCCATCCTCACTGGTTCCGGCTCTGTGACCTGTTGTATCGAAGTGCATTTCTCTCAATTCAGGCTTGACTCTCGACACTTGTGTTCGCGTGTGAGTGCGGAATGTGGTGCGGGTAGCTTTGTTTCCTCAGTTTGTCAGCCGAGCTGTGAGCTGTGAGCGAGGGAGCGAGGGAGCGAGGGAGCGA